CTCTCTCTCTCTCTCTCTCTCTCTCTCTCTCTCTCTCTCTCTCTCTCTCTCTCTCTCTCTCTCTCTCTCTCTCTCTCTCTCTCTCGTGTGCGTAATACGTGCGTGTGTGCGTATATGCATGCGTGCATGTATGCGCGTGTGTGTTGCATTTCAGTGTAATTTGCAAGGACAAAAGTGCCTATCTTAGATTTTCTAATTAAAATATGTAAGCAGTATTCAATTAGTATTTGATTCATTGACATTATTATTAAATATATATTAATTTCAATCTTACATTATTATGCATTCCAAAAAAATATTATATTTAATATTATAAACATCTATAAAAATAATTTGCATGTGATATTTATTAAAATTACAATAAAAATTATAATTTACAAATTTTAATAGATATTATAATAATATTTTATATATAATGTTAAGCAATCAATTGTAATTTCATACTTGTATATCTAATATTTCTGAAAATATTTAATGAGAATAAATTATGTAATAATTATAATGCATATATTATGTGATAAAAAAATAATGAAAAAATATGTACAATTTAAAGAGAGATAGTTTAAAGATTTTGAAAAATTTATTTCATTTTAGATAATATATATTTATGTTTTATTTTTTTAATTCATTTAAATTTCCTTTTTCTATATATAATTAATGAATAATTGATATTAATTAATAAAAGATAAAAAAATTAAATGAATAATAAAATTATTTTTTCTTATATTTTTGAAAAATGTTTTTATTTTATTATATAAAATATTTTAAAATATTCTTATATAAAAAAATCAGATAATACATTATATTATCTAAAATTGTAAGAAATATATGTCCTATGCATTCGACTAGATTCTTTCGAGCCACTCGAAAGTGTTTTTTTGTTTTCAAAATGAATCTTAGATTAAATTATGATGTACGATTATTACTCAATTCCAAAATTAACATATTATAACTTATTTTAAAAATTTTTTCCTTGCTACAAATGATATTAATAAATTCATATAATTACGTAAGTCTTGCATATCTTACAACTCTTTTTAGACTATCATAAATATTTTAAAGAAATCATTTAGAGCGTAATAGTTTTAAGTATTTACTGCTAATGTTTTTCCTACAATAATCAATTATATTTAAAAATAACTTCTTCTAAAATTATATACAAAATAGAAAAAATGATGGATCTCATTCTTTAAAAAAGAAAAAAAGACATTTATTACATTCAATTCGATTTTTTTAGAAAATATCTTATTAATTCAAATTTAATAAAAAAAAAAAAATAATCAATTTCATTTATTTATTATTTACAAAGTCAATTTTTAAAGTAATATATATTTGTTGTTGAAAACTATATATCTAATGTATTTGTATTTCTTCATCTTTCATTCTTAATGAAATCTATCACTTTTTTATAGTATTTTGAATGATATTTTCAAATATATAATTTAAAAAAACATAATTATAATTGTTGAAAAAAGTGAAAGCAATAATACATTTTATTTTTACGATAATTTTCTATATTAAAATATGGAATTATTTTAAATTTATTTAGTTATTTACTATTTGAAAATAGGACTTATTTGATAAATTAATTATAAAATAATATTCTTATAATAAATTTTATATTTAAAATAAGTTATATAATAGTTTTAAGAAATAATTTTATATTGTATAAGTTACTTACTACTTAATTATTCTTCTTTATTGTCTAGAATTAATTTAATATACATAGATACAAATATAATTATTATTTAAAAATATTTGTAAATATTTTTTTTCATTAAAATTTTCATGTATTAAAAAATATAATTTATGCTCTTATAAACTATTATCATATGTATTATTTTAATCTTAAAAAATTAATTTGGTATTTATATCATTATTATATAAGTAATTATTTAAAAAATACTAATATTAATATATTAATATTGGTATGCATTATTTAAGAATAAAGAAATAACATGATATAATATTTTTAACATAATATTAAAATTTTTATTCTTTCAAGTAAGATATTTTCTTTTATATTTCACATAATTTTTCAATATTTGATAATATAAAATAAAAATAAAATTATTAATCAAAATTTATTATATTATCTTTATAATTATTATTATAAATATAATTATATTTATATAATTATATATATATTTATATATATAATTATTAATTATTATCTTTATATAATTATATTAATCTAAATTGTGTGTATTTATTTTTGTATATTTATTATTTTTATATGTTTTAAAATTATAGAAGTATTATAAAAAATATACAATATTAATAAGTATTTTGAAAATAATTCTTTATAAATGAACTTAAACAGTATTTTTATCTTTTTTTTTTGTTTTGGATAAAATGAAAATTTTGATTGAAAATTGATAAATAAATTTTAGACAGCAGCACTAATTTTTAAAAAATGTAATATTTTTATTTTTGTTTATAAAGTTTTAATAAAAAAATAGTAATAATATTTATTTTCATGTTACATTATATTTAACATTTGAATTAAATTAATTCAAAAAAAAATTATTATTTTTCATATTATAAATGTTTTATTTTATATATATATATAATTTACTATAATTTATTTTTATTTTTATAATATAAGAAAAAAATACTATTCTTTATAAATATCATCATAGATAAATTTTAATTCATAGATCTTTATTATCTTGTTACAAAAGACTAAAAATTATATAGAACATCTGAATCCTATATATTTTTATATTTATTAGTACTTCTTATATATATAATTCATATATAAATAAAAATGAAAATTGTTTAATAGCTTATATATATAAAATTAAATGCTTTTAAGCATCTTTAAAAAAAAACAAATGCTTCATAAATAAAAAAATTGAAATAGATATTCAAAATTTTTATTCTATTTAGAATTGTTTTTATTCTATTATTAATACAAAACAATTGTAGTTGAAAAGTTCATTTACAACTATAATATTAAATTATAAATATATAACAAATTTATAATTTTTTTTTTAAATTTTGATCATAATTTTATTTTTAAGAAATATAGCGTTTTATTCTTAATAGTGTAGAATGTTTTCCTAAAATTTCCATCATTTCAGCTACAGGTGGACCTTCCTAAAAGTATTAAAATATGTTATGTAAAATAATTTTAGATCTATTTATAATATTTTATATTTACTTTTAAACCACTAAGTATAAAACGTAAAAGTTTCATTAATGTTGGATAAGGAATTTTATGTTCATTAGCAAATTTTTTTTAGATAATTATTTATCCATATATTATTATAATTTTGAATATCAATTTCATCCAATTTTTTTTTATTATTTTAAGTGTATCTGTAAAAAAAAATAATTGTATATAAAATTTAATAAAATTAATTACATATAAATTTTTTAATAAATTATACCTAAATATTCTAAATAAGTAGTATCTAATGGTTTAGTTGGTACAATCCATAAAAAGCTTAAATTTGGAGATACAAGATCATTTAATTTTGATATTCTATTCTGTGCCCATTTTAATATAGAAATAATATGATGTTCATCTAATTGTAAACTTTCATCAATTTGCCTACAATAATATTTAATATAATATTAAAAATATTAAAAAAATTTTAATATTAGATATAATAAAATTTTAATAAAAGAAAATAAAATAAGTATTAGATGAATTATGCATACCTATTTGAAAATGTTTCCATAACTAATTTTTTGATTCTTTCAATTAAAAATTTATTGTTTTTTTTCATTTGCTAATAATTTTGTTATTTCTAGCTTATTAAACTCTAATAATCTTGGAGGTGAAAGTTTATTAGAATTTGTTTTTATCTTAGAAATATTAAACTGTAAAATAATTAAAACAAAATAAAATACATAGTAGAAAAAATATATGTATTACAATTTATATTAATTCAAAATATAATATTAATGACCAATATATTATAAAAAAAAATGCAAAAACTTAAGTACTTGTTTAATTAATTCTTCATAACTATCAATATAATGAACACCTTCTTTATTATCAAAACCACCACCAGCATGAATAATATAATTTAACATTGCTAATGGAAAGATTCCTTCTTTTCTAAAAGATTCTATATTTATGTCATTTTGTCTTTTTGATAATTTAGTTCCATCAAAATTTAATATTAAAGGTAAATGTCCATATATAGGTGGAGTCCAATTAAATGCTCTGTAATAATTATACTAATATTTATTTTCTATATATATAGTTTACAATTTTTGAAAAATTTTTAACCAAATTATTATTTTAAAATCATTATATTTTTTCAAAATATTGTTCATATTGTTAATATTGAATTACTTTTAAATTAAAAAAAAAGTTTTAAAAAATAAAAATCTCTTAAGCCATTAAAATTTAAAATTAAAAATCTAATATTTATATAGACATTTTTGGTTAAAAATCATTTTATTGAATATTTAAAATTTAATAATTTGCCTAAATACTTATATAAATAATAAATATTTTTTATAAATAGTGATGAAATAAAAGATAATATTAAGTGAATTATTTATAAGTTTTATATAAATACTTACTTATACATCATTATATGCTTAGGTGTAGATACTTGCCACTCAATTCCTCGTAATACATGAGATATTTCCATAAAATGATCATCAACGACATTTGCAAAATGATAAGTTGGATAACCATCTGTTTTAATAATAATTGGATCTCCTTCTCTTTTTGTGATATCATTTTCTATTTTACCATATATTAAATCATTAAAATATTTTATTTCAGAAGATAACTATAAATATATAAATGTTTAAAAATATAATTTAAAAAAATATAATACTATTAATATGCTATATATCATATAATGGTAATACTATTTTTTTATACCTTAAATCTAATACAAAAAGGATCTCCATTATCAAGTTTTACTTTTATTTCATTATTACTTAAATTTCTACATCTATTATCATATCTTGGCACTTGTCCATTTCTTATTGCTTCTTTTCGCAATAACTGCAATCTATTTTCTGTACAGAAACAGTAATATGCAGATTGATTGTCTATGAGCTTAAGCACTTGTTCTCTGTAATTTAATAAGTGATATATTGATAGCTTTTTAATATATTTAAAAGAATATTAATATATATAAAACAATTTTTTTGTTAAAATTGTCAATTTAAATAATAAATAATAAATTTAAATAATAATAAGAGATTAATTAATAGTATATTAATTTTTAAAATGATTTTCTTATAAAATACAAAAAATGTTAAATATATTTTTCATATATTTCTATTATAATATTAATATTTGTTTTCTTAAATGATAATATCTATTTTTTTGTTAAAAGCAATAATATAATTCTTTTAATTTTATTTAAATGAATTTTTAAATTTTTAATTTATATAAAAGAAATTTTAAATTAAAACTAAAATAAATAAATTGTAATGATTATATTAAAATAGAACTTTGCTTACAATATTAATTTTTCTACAGCTATAAACAATTACGAATTATAATAATGTAATAATAATAATTATAAATATAAATAATTACTTAAATTATAATTATTTGAAATATAAAAAATAAAATATAACTATGTTTATTTGGATATATGTTTATTTGAAAAAAAATTTCAATAAGCTTTAAGATATAAAATATTATTATTATATTTAATAATTTTATAGAAGTAATAGAAAGATTTATATAATATATAATTTTTTAATTTTATAAATATAAAATTCATATTATATTTACATATCTGTAATTATAATAAAAAAATAGATTTAATATTTATTATTATTTGAATTGAATGATATGAATTATATAAATTATGTCATACTTATATATTTCAAGTCGTTTCGATTGTATGTAAGGTCCTGTAGGTCCTCCTCTTATTGGATCCTCATCAGGTATAATTCCAGACCATAATAAATCATTTTGTATTTTTTCTATAGTTTCAGGTATACATCTAGTTTGATCTGTATCCTCAATTCGTAAGATAAATGTACCATTATTAGCACGAGCAAATAAATAATTATATAACGCAGTTCTTAAACTTCCTACATGTAATAAACCTGTAATTATTTTTTAATTAATTTTATGTTAAGATTATTTATTTCACAAGAAAATAATATTCATAAAATAAATAATAGAGATTTTACATACCAGTTGGACTAGGAGCAAATCTAACTCTTACTTGAATTTTTTTGATGAATCGTTTTTGTATAAACTGAACATTTACAATACGAAATATGTTATACTTCATATTTTAAACTGATTTATGTTAAAATTTTAAAATAAATTTCATTAAATGTTGTTATATGTAAAACTATTTTATTTCATATACTACAGAAAAAGAAATATAAATTATAATTATATAAAATATTTAATTATATTCATTAAAGTCTTTTTATTTTCAATAGTGCTGAAATGAACAAAAATTAGTTACTAAAAACTAATTCACATAATTCAATTGTACTTGCTTTTTCTATTCACATGTATAATGAATATGTA